AGTCTGTAGGTTTGTAATACACACTAGTGCATAAACCATTGCCTTCAATTGAAACTTTGATGTCTAAAAAGGATAAAGACTTGTCAGAAATTTCCCAGGTATATTTCAGAGCTGGGTGAAAAGAATTGACTGCAGTTATGAATTGAGTCAGCTCCTCTCTGGTAGAGGAGGTAGTGCCGATACAGTCGTCGATGTAGTGACCGTAGAGTTCAGGTTTGGAGCCGTTGTATTGGCTGAAAAATTGGTGTTTGACAAAACCTACAAAAAGGTTGGCATAGCTAGGTCCCATTTTGGTGCCCATGGCTACACCATTGGTTTGTTTGAAGAAGTTGTCCCCGAATGAAAAACAATTGAGTGTGAGCACTAGTTCGGCTAAGCGTAGTAGTGTTTCACATTTAGGTTCCTTAACAGTACGTTGATCAAAAAAATGTTTAAGGGCCAGAAGGCCTTCGCCATTAGGAATGACAGTGTAAAGAGACGTAATATCCATGGTGAAAAGAAGTTTGTTTTGGCCAAGGAAATTAAAGTTGCAAAAGATTTGAAGAGCGTGTTGGCTGTCTTTAATATATGATGGTAAAGTTTTGACGATGTGAGCCATAATTTTGTCTAGATAGCTGGAGATAAGTTCGGTAGGGCAACTGCAAGCCGAGACAATGGGCCGACCCGAATTGTTAGGTTTGTGAATTTTAGGTAAAAAGTAAATACAAGAAGTTCTAGGAGTGGTTATGATGAGATTTTTTGCTGTGGCTGGCAATTCTTGTTTAGTTGTGAGTTGGTTGATCATATTCTTGACGGTGTTTTGATTGCCAGCAGTGAGGTCTTTGTCTACCTTTTGATAAAAAGAGGTGTCAGAAAGTTGCTGCAAAGCTTCTTTTTGGTAGAGGTCGGTGCGCCAAACAACGACTGAGCTGCCCTTATCGGTCACTTTTATAACGATGTCTTTGCGTTTTCTAATGCTTTTTAGAGCCAACCACTCTTCAGAAGAGAGATTAGAAAATTTGGTAACGCGATTGAAATGAAGTTTGTTGATATCGTGGCGGCATTTTTGGTAAAATGCCAGTATATGCGAATTTGTTAAACAGAAACCCTAAAGTTCACTTGAAAAAAAATAGAAAATTCAGATCCAAGTGGTTTCAATAGGTGTTTTCCTAGCTGAATTGTTCATTGCATAACTTTTTCAGGAAAATATTGGATATCAGATGGCTTTGCGACTTGGCTGGATTAGTGGATCTGGACTTGGGAAAAAGAAGCAAGGTAAAGAGAAGTGGTACCATAGTTGGTGGTGTACTTTGAACCAAAGTGCTCTCTTTAATTGTAGCGCTTAACATTGAGTTTCGTAATGCAAGTGATGATTCATACATACATACTTTATTTAAGGTAGCAAAGAAAACACAAATAATACCCTAAAGAGGAAGTTTAAGAGGTTAACCCTTTGTAAATAAACTTTCAAAGAAATAAAAAATATATGCTTATAATAAAATCTAAGATGGATAAAAACCTAAGAAATATGCATATATAATTTAAGAGCTGTTTTGAAAGGTGTTAAGTTACCTATCTCAATGACATTGGTGTGCAGGTCATTCCATTCACAAATGATTTGAACAAAAAAAGAGTATTTATAACAATTGGATTTTGCCAATTTAACCTGCAGTTTGTAATTGTGTTTGGACCTAGTACGTTTTGAAGCAAACTCAAAAAAATCACAAAAATAAAGGCCATCCAGGGTTCACAATGAATGTCACGGGAGTGTTTCAGGGTGACGCTATGCTGAGACAGATCTCAGAGTCAGTCCAGATCAATAAGGTTCAACAAGATCAACTGATAAACACGAAGAGCGTGTGTAATTATGACAGGATTGCTTGGGCTGTTGTCACACAATCGTGAATGAGGCTACGAACATTTCATCATGTGACTATTGCACAGTGAAACTGAGTTCTAGTCTCTTGTAATTAATTAATTTAATTGTCTATCTATTGTTATCATTGTTATTTGTGTTGTTAGTGTAATTTTTGTGGAATATTGATTTATTGTTATTGGTGGTTTTTTCTTTGTTTTTTTTTGTAAGTTTTTAAGTTTGTTTTTCTTTGTTTGTCTACTTTGGTGGTGTTGTTTTATCAGTTTTACTTTAGCGTCGTTGTTGTGCAACTAGATACCAGGTTATTGCTTGTGCAGCATTATATGCTCGTGCAACATTATATGACATGGTCTGAGATTTGAAATTTCTAACGAAACAGCGAAACGAAACATTGCATACAACTGAAGAGGTCTGTGGACGAAACTAGTTTTGTAGTAGGCGTGTTTTAAAGTGCGTTGAAAGTTAATTCTAATGAGGTTTTTGTTTTCAATATGATGATGAAGGCCATTCAGCCTGAATACAAGTTTATCGCATTCTACCAAGGAAAAATATAGCCTTCTATCAGTCATCTTTGACCAATGTAACATTTCACAACGATCTTCATATGACATCTCATCCCTTTGCTGACCTAAAGCCAATCGAGAGGCTCTTCTCTGAACTCTCTCCAAGAGAACAATATTTTTAACTAGGTAAGGGCACCATACTGGGAAAGCATACTCAAGGATTGGTCTCACAAGAGTCTTGTACAATGTGGAAAAGATTTCGTTGTTTACAGAACCAAATGTTTGCTTGATTAGACCAAGAACTTTATTGGCCTTATTGACAACCTCAACAACGTGTGGAGTCCATGTGAGGTCATGTGAGATTGTAATGCCAAGGTCTTTTACAGAACTCACTGAGCTTAGACATTCTCCGTGCAAGATAAGAGAGTAATGTGGGACAGATTTATCACGGTTATGTGTTACTCGCATAACCTCACATTTGTTCACAATGGAGTTTAACTGTCAGACCTCAGACCACTTCTTCAGGTGAAATAAGTCGGACTGAAGAATATTTGTGTCGCTAGCTATGTCAGAGATCTCTCTGTAAACCTTGGTATCATCTGCATACAGTTTAACCATAGATGAAATTCCTGATGAGATGTCATTTACATATAAAATGAATAAGACAAGACCAAGGATTGTTCCCTGGGGTACTCCTGATAAAACTGGAGACCAGGATGAGCAAGTAATTGATAGTTCTTTCAAGGCTTTGCTTAAAATGCTAGCTTAAAACTGTTACAATATGACTTAGAGTCTTTCTTTAACATCACTAATAAAAGTTAAGTACTGTTAAGCAATTCCTGTTTGCATCTCTCTTCAGGTCGTACAGAACCAATACCTCTAGTCATGAAGGAGGATTCTTTATGTATCGGCCGTCTTACTCTTGAGGTATGTATTGCTCCCTGTTTCCTTTAGTTACATACCTTACAAAGTGACTGGTAATCACTAACTTTTAAAAAGAAGTCCCACATTCTTTCATCTTAGTAATTTTCCCTGATTAAGAAGTACTGGTAACATGTAGAACCAGTAGGATTTAATGATTTATTTGGTTAAACCTTATAACAATGGACAAAGTATCATTCATGTTTAGATGAATTATGTATTTGTTGTACCATAATTAAAAACGATTTAAAATGATTTTTGGTTTTATTAGTTTTTTACCTTTGTCCGGATACTTTACATGTGCCTTCTTCCTTAACAAAGGAAAATACAAGTTATCATACAAACCTGAAATCATAATTATTAAACTACCATATTTCCATTTATTATAAGATTATTTTCCCTGTTTAATACTTATTTCTTGTGTATGACTTTCATTTGGTGAATCCTTTTTACTCCATGCAATATGGGTGTGTTTTAAAAGTTCTTGTGATTTCTGTATGATATCGCTATAGACCTCAAGTCAGTTCATACATCACTAAACATAAATTTTGTTTTGAAAACATCTGGCTTGTTTTCTTTCCTGGTTAGTTTGAGCAAGCAGATGAAGCCACACGTAACAGGAAAGTTTTGGAGATTGAGAAAGAAGATAATGAAGAACTGCAGCAAAAATATCAGGTTTAAGTTACTGATTTGTATTTCTCAAGGACAGCCTTTGTTTCGAATCTATAAAAGATAGAGAATGACACTGTAGTAGTGTTAATAAAAAGTGCTCGCCAGATAAATGCAACGCCATCATTTAAGTGTCAATTTATATATACAGCTTTAACTCAGTAAAACTATGTTGAAAGAATAATTTTTGTTTCTTTCCACAGAATGAGCAAGAGAAGGAAAGAGCAATTGAGGAAAGCTTGAAAGATCTAAAAGAGATGTTCTATTGTGAACTTTGTGACAAACAGTACTTTAAGTACAAGGAGTATGATAACCATATCAACTCTTATGACCATGCACACCGCCAGGTAAAGTAACAGCCAAATAACCCTAACATATAAACATTTTTTGGTTTTATAGAGCATCTTCATGCCTTGATTTGGAAAAACTTTTTGTCTTAAACTCAGGTTAATATTGCTACTGCAGTTTGAGTATTTTCTCAGCTGACTTTTTATTTTGATGAGTAATTTCTTAGAGACTGATTTTGAGATAAAAATGAGTAACAAAAAAGCACAACATTTCGACCTCTTCGAGGTCATTTCCAAGTGAGTAGAAATGTTCTAAATTAGCATAAAAATGTAGAAAAAGTTTAAATGTGCAAAAATGTGGCAAACGCTAAAATGTGATATAATATGAAAGAAAGTGCTAAAAATATTTACGAGGTAAAAACAATGGTCCGGAATAATAATAACAAGAACTACTCTAGATAAACAAATAATTCAAGGCACGAATTGAATTGCACTGTTTGTTTAGTTTTGGTTTGAGTTCTTTGATAAAAAAACATTTCAAAAATAAGACAGTCAAATTTGTTTGGACACTTTCTCACAAAAACTTTGTGCAATGTTGTCTGGCTCCATGTCATGCTGCTCTCTGAGATGGTTTCCAATTGCGGATCCTTTGTGTTCCTCAATTCGTTGGTGAAGGTGTTGGTACGTGTAGCCAACCTAGCCTGCATTGCATAGGCCACACTGAAAGGTAAAGACTTGTTTCCATATCTCAAAGTGCCCTTGGACGTAAGGTGCCTGGGAATGAAATCAAATCACTGAAATATAATTAGCGCCAAACTACCGACGATTTACGACTCTGAACGTTACCTGTTCTTTGCTGTGCACAAGTTTTAAGTCTACTTCGTGTGTGTTTTGAGTCAAGAGAAAACATCTGGAGTATATTTGGGCAATGGCAGGCGATGCAGATGTTGCATCTCTTTTATGGGAAATTTTCGATGTACGTTTATCCAGAAAGTCCGGCTACGTTTACCAATCTTTCAAGATCGACGAAATTGTCAAAGAATGGGAGTTGTGCACAAACTCATTGTTCACTCTTTGGGGGTATCGGTAAGTCTGACGGTGCAAATAAGCCAAATTCTGTGTTATTCTCCAATCTATTTACTATAAAAGCAGACCAACTAAATCCTCAGTTGGTCTAGTTCTATAAAGGCACTGGGAGAACGAACAGCACAATACATCACCAATCAATCTGTTATATTTTAATTTTCTTTTAGAAAAAAAGATATATTTTAAGATGAATTGCTAGTTTTTAGATTACAATGAAAGTGCCCATCCCCCCTCCCCTCCATGCTCCTCCCCTCTGTATTACCCCCCTTCAAATAAACCCCCCATCAATGAGGTCTGAAATTCCATAAGCCCCTGTGGTTTTAACAGACCTTGTATAGTATATGTTTATTTAATCACTTTCACCAGAGTGTGGTGAGGGTCGCACAACAGAGCGAGGCTCCAAATTAAGTGCGCCCAATATCCCACCCATCCCACCCCAGGGGAGGACATCTATCACACAGTAATCTCGTGTGTGAGAAATTAACGTCTCCTACCCCAACCCTGCAGGAGACGAGACCTCCATTTGTTCGTCCCTATCCGAGAAGACTAGAATATCTAACCATTTCTTGATATTATAGAAAGGCACCAAATTCTTCTCAATTATTTTAAGACCCTGAGTGTTGGTCCGGCCAGGGCTCGAACCCTCGACCTCCCGTACAACAGTCCAGCGCTCTATCCATTGAGCTTTCAACAAACTCTCAAATCCAATCTTTACAAGACTGGATTATAATTCATATTATGAGTGATAAGAATACCCAGTGACAAAATCACTTGTTGGCAGACACTAAATTATAGTTCTGTGTTAGACCCGTCAGCTACAACACACAAAGTCACGTGGGAAGACCAAAAATTGAAATTTGACGCCATACCATATTTTACTTTGGGGCAAAGAATTTTTGACTGTTGAAATGGAAAAGACAGGAAGAAAGCTTGGAAACAAAAGAGAAAAGAAATGAAACTGCAGGAGGGGTATGGGTTACTCAGTAATCATTAATAATGATAAAATTTCCCACAAATTTTTCAATTTTTTTTTCTGGGGAAGGGGTTATAGACAACACCTGTCTTCATTTAAACAGAAATAAACAAGAAATAATCATTGACAAGTAAATAGTAAGTGAATACTTTATTCAAGTGTCATTTCTTCTTCTAATTCATGTCACTGGTTGTAAGTTGTACTTGTGCAAGGAACACTAAAATCCAAAAAGGAATATTTTAAAATAATTTAAAACACTTATTTTGTGGTACTAAGAGTAAAACAGTTGAAAAAGACAAGAACTGGTGTTAACATATCAATACATCTCAAGTAGAAAATTCAGAGCAGAGTGGAACTCCTCAAAGTGCTACTTTGGAAATTGCTTCATTCTATAAAGGGTCTGGTATGTCAAAGTTCTGTTCTATACCTCTTCTATGGTCTGGCTGGAGGATATTTAAACAAGAGAGTGTTTCTGTCGAGGAACTATCGGCTCATAGTTGACAGCAGAAATTTGATGTTCTTAAGACAAATATGCCAGATTTAAGAACATCAAATTTCCAAGGGGCAACTATCAGACCAATAGTTCCAAGACATAAACACTCTATTGTCTTTATTGTTTACCACTGAATTTTCTGCCGTGCGGCAGATCAATCATACCTCCTCCCCTACTCCTCCTACTGGTGACCCCTATGTACAATATCACCACTGCAATGACTGGTGGCACCATAAGTGTGTTAACGTACCACCCTGGGCTGTAGAATGTAACAAGTCATGGAAATGCGAGACCTGCAATAAAATAAAGCTTTGAAAATGGAAGCTGAACATTCCACTTTTATCTAAGTCAAGTCTTCCGGTTACTATAGAACTAATCTAATTTGACTTTCAAAACTTTTAAATAGGCTTCCTGAGAGTGTTCAGTCAGTAAAGAAATGATAGGCACAAGTGATGCTGTTAGTGACAAAGTATTTTTTGCAGCTTGGACTTCAAGATTTCCGATGAAAAATAGACTCACGCAAAAGCCTTTGGAATCCAGAATAAACTAGCAGTAGCCACAACTTTTTCAGAGATAACTGTTATGTAATACCTGGTAAACATAGCCAGACTTGCTGAATAAGTGTACATTCCGATAAATGAGATGCAACATCTGCATCGCCTGCCATTGCCCAAATATACTCCAATAAAGAAACTAAGACATTATATTATTGTTTTCTGGTGAATTCGAAAAAGAGCACGAAACATTTTTTCAATACCAAAGCGGAAACCAATTTTGGAAGGGCACGAGGGCGGTTTGAGCTATGGAAACAAAGCAAATCCATCATGCCGCTACTCATTTCCATGGCTGAAATTGCCCTTGAGGTTAGTGTCTGATTTCTTTTTTTATGGGCGAAAATAAACCTTAAGCGACAGAACTATGCTGGATGTGATATTTACTGAGCTAAAAGTTTTCTCTTGACTCAAAACACACACGAAATTGACTTAAAATTTGTGCACAGCAAGAACAGGGAACGTTTGGAGTCGTAAATCGTCGGTAGTTCTGCGCAAATTATATTCCAGTGATTTAATTTCATTCGCAGGCACCTCACGTCTAAGGGCACTTTGAGATATGGAAACAAGTCTTTACCACACTGAAATGAATACATTATGCATTGTTGACTCACAAGAGGTGGCTTGTCCTTAGACTTTTGATAAATTCACCTTAAGTGACTTTACTAGTACCCAGCTTGTGATGTATTATTCAATAATGTTTTTTTTCTTTTTTTTAATGGCACTCTTTTTACAGCGACTCAGAGAACTTAGGCAAAGAGAATCAACAAGAAACATTTGTAAGTTATATTGCTACTCAAGAAGGTGGTGTTTTATTTTTGTTGTTAGAAACTCCAAACAATAGTATTATGCAAGAAAATGTTTAGAGCTTATGATATGAATTTTTAATATAGTTGCAAAGAAGAAAAAAGAACAGAAACAGATGGAAAAGGAATTGATGAGGCTCCACCTTATTTCTGGAAAGAATACTGAATCAAGGTCATTATCCATTGCATCTTTTTGCCCTGATTTGTTAAGCCCTCTTCATTGTTATATGTTATTTGTCCTGCAACTCTTCAATGTTCCTTAAATCTGTCATTAGGATAAGCACTAAAATGGCACAAATCAGTCTAAATGAATGAGTACCTCAATTAAAGTGAATTCAATAATTCAATTATCTTATTTGTTTTGTTTTTTTATCCACAGTGCTAATGCAGGATTTAAGTCAGTGTTCAAGTCTTCATCTACTGGTCCAAACAGCACATCTGGTTTTAAGCCAATCTCAGTCAATAAGAGCTTTCAAGCAGTCCCACCTCCAAAACCCATTGAATTTTCACCCCCTCTTCCAAATGAGCTTGCCCCACCCCTCCCTGATGAACCAGTCCCTCCACCTCCACCTTTACCACCATTAGATCAACAAACTGAGAAGCCTCTTAGCTTCAAAATGGGTTCCTCTTCTGATGGGAAAGATCAGCCCCAGAAACTTATCGGTACAGCCACTGAAAAGAAGGGTCTTTCTTTCAGTCTTGGCAAGAAAAAATGTGCAACTGTTATACAGTTTGGCACAAAATGTAAACCTACCAAGAGTACAGCTGCTGCTGCATTTGCTGAATCAAGTAGTGAAGAAGAGGAAGAGGAAGAAATGACAGAGGAAGACAAAAGAACATCATTTGAGAATGAGGAACTTTTGTCCACTCCAACCCAACAACAGGATACCCTTGAAAAAGTAATAGAGTATGCTGATACTTTGAGATTAAAGGAGGCTCTCAGGCCAAAACTGTTGATTAGGTTTGTGAAAGGGACAGAACAGGGTGGAGTACTTCCTGGAACTTTACCAACATCAGCTGATGAAGGTGAAACTACAAACAAGTTCCAGGAACCCCACAGAAAGTTCACTGAGAGGAAGGAGGTGAAAAGTGAAAATGAGGAAGGCAACACCAAGGATTCAGGAAACAGCAGAATGAACATGAAGGATGGAAGAGCTGGCAGTTATCAAAGAGACAGGTCCAAAGGTTACAAACATGGGAAGAATTCTAGCCATCAGAGAGAGGATTTTGACAGGAAAAATAACAGAAGGGAAGAAAAGTATAAGTACAGACAATCAAAAGATTGCGATGAAAAGAAAGAGTACAGAAAACAAGATAAGAATTCCAGCAGGGGTAGAGAAAGTAAGAATGATAAGTATAACCACAAGGAATTTAGAGAGGTAGAGCACTCCAAATATGGACGAAAATCACCAAATTTGAAAATGGAACCTAAGGATGGAAAAAGAAGATTTAGGGAAAATTTGGTAGATAAGTAAACTGGCAAAATAAAGGCCATGGTTAATTTATGGCTATGGCTTCTGAAAGCCAGAATAATTACCGTCACTGTGGTACTTGAAAGACAGGATAAGTTGCCGTTGAAAGTGAAAAATATATCCAGTCTTGGGAGGTGATGTTGTCGGAATGTGCGAGTAAATGTCTAAATACTGGTTCTCACAAGACAATTTTATAAGTCCTTTGAAGCTCTCTTAATAAACACACTTTTAAGTTAAATGCTCTGCTTACAATTTATAAATTATGGTTATTTGACAAAATACCCTTTTTAACAATTCCCAGTGAGAGCTGTCTTCATATTGAGGTACTTGTGGTTTTCACTTTTCTAATGGTGTCAGATGGTAGGGTTTAAAATGACTAGAGCTGACTAGAGCAGTACAAAAGATAGGATAGTTGCCATTAAGATTTCCATGTTCTAGGTGTAAAATCTCGTGGTAAAAAGTATGTAAAGTTTTAGTGAGTCCCAATAGAAGTTTGGAGTAGAACACATTTGAGAGAAAGATTGTGTTCTTACTTTTTTATATACAGGAAGTATTATTTTTAAAGCCCTCTTTAGAACTCTTCAGAATTATCTAGTCACAAATTGAAGTTTCAACTCAAGAACAAAGTTTTTAAAGATCCATCAGAGATTAGAAAAACAAAGGTCAACAACAAACCCACAAATCCACTCAGGATACTCACTTCGCATTTTTATTTTCAATTTTCAGTTCGTTTTATTCACCCATTGTGTACAATTAGAAAGTGCATTGTTTCCAAGGCACTTTGTCACATGTAATAGACACATGATTGTGACAGCTGTCAGAAATGCAATAACTCAAATTATTAAAAACTGGATCATTGGATAATGCAATTCAAAACTTCTTATTGGTTTAGCCATTATGGTCTATGAGCCAATATACCATAATCTACAAATATGGTAAGCATATGTGTCAGCTTAAAATTAAAAAGGAGCTAAAAAATTTAATAATTTAAAATAACGTTTTTACTAAAACAATTATTCCACTCGCGCTTGTTGGATATGAGATGATTAAAGCCAACTCGGCGCTACGCACCTTGTTGGCTATCTATCATCTCATATCTAACTCGCGCTTGTGGAATAATTAAGTAAACTAGGTACACCTGAACTATGTCTTGAATGTTAGGAATTAGTACATGCCAGAAAACCTCAAAGCCACATATCCATGATCACTGCTTACAGTTCCAGCTTTCTCAAGTCAGAACACAATCTTTAGCCAGAACTTTCCTGGTATTACCACTTTTCTTATTTCACTTTGTAATAGTTTTATGGTGAACATACTCCAATTGATTCAATTCTCCAAACCTGCAGACATTTAAAGGAATAACAAGTAGGACTTTTTACACTAACCAGCATTTATGAGAGTAGCTTCCATGTTTGGGACTTGAATAATTCACTATTTGATGGAGCCCAATTATTTTTTTCTATTGCACCACTTCTATTCCATTTGCAGCAAGAAATATCATTGTGCAAGAAAATCGCATGTATGGGAGCACCAACTTATTTCAATCACATTTACTTTCCAATACACATGTACACTGTATGCGTAATTGCCTTGACGAGTTATTTGATCCCCTCATGAGAAGCAAGTGCAAGAAAGATCCTACTGAATTTTAGTATGTTATGGAAATACAGACGTCATCGAGATTCTACCCACTATTCTACTAATTATCAGTAAATGAGAAGCCAAGCAAACCCATCAAAGCTCACAGACATGAGAGCAAAAGTTGTTGACACATGTTCTCTGAACAGTTCTTAGAAAAGGAACAAACAATAATATAAGGGTCCCTGTAACATGCATAGACCCATGGGACTCGCTGCGGTGATTTGACATGTACCTACTTTTACCCTCATTTCCAACCTACAAACACCAACTAAGGCATCAGCTCCAGGGGTACAATTTAGTTAAGGATTCCATTTACTATATTACTGACAAATAATCTACATTTGATCAGCAGGGATTTGCTAAAGCAAAGGCATAGAAAAAACCAAGAAAGTAGTAAAATAATCTACATTACTTTAAAATTTATTTTTGGACAACAGTTTTGTTTTAAACGAGAGTGTACCCTTTCAAAAAGGTGGTAATCAACACCATCATGAGAACAAGGTTATATTACTGAAAGTAACTTAGCAAATGCTATGATGTGAAATGCTCTGAGGGAATGTAGCTGTTACTGAAGTTACATTTGGTTATCGTGGTGATGTCATTCATCAATTGTCTCTGGTATTTCATTACCATCGATTATAAGGGAGTGAATAATTCCATCCTTTTTCTTTCCAGAGCTTATGGCTTTGATGTAACATGTGTGTTTGAGCCAAGTAAAATGAGTTTCTGTTCCATCATCAACAAATTCGCCCTGAAAATTGCAAGTGATTGAATTTAGTTACGTTAATTATGTAGACATCAAAACCTGGTTTTGGGGGGTGGGGGTGGGGGGGGGAGGGATGAAGGGGAGGAAGCACTTAAGAGAGCTTGGATGGGATTGTACTTGACAGGCCTTCAGATCTGATCCTTTTGGAGACTCCAGGCCCTAGAAACTATACTCCCAAGCCCCATTAAACTAAATGATAGATTTCATAAGAAAATTCATCACTTGACAAGGGGATTCTGCATTAAATCGCACATGAAAACCACTATTGCACAAATCACAAGGCGAGTCAGTAAAGGATTTTCCTTGAATCAAATAATTAAATGAAAAATAAGAAAGAAAAAAAAAAAGAAAACAGCATAACTTATAGTTATGTATATGTGGATAGGAAACAATATCACTTAACCTTGTTTTCAACTTGCAATTTTACACTAAATACCCTGCTTTGTTAACCAATCAGAGTGTGAGATATTGAATGACGCGATTCTAAAGGAAAGAAATACCAGAATGTCTGAAGTTTCAAAAACATGTTATGTTGAATCACAGTCTACAGAAAATACAACATCTGTATCCTCTCAAGTGAAGATAACATTGTTGTCATCATGGTAATTATGTTCATTGAACTGGCAGTCTAATTCCAACTGAAGGAGGTTTTTTCTCACCAATATAAAACATCAATGTAGAATTTAAGTTGATTTCTGAGGAAAAAAAATTCTCATGAGAACTTGTTTAATTTTTGTCAGAAGCTAAAGTAGCATAGTAGCATTTGAAGAAAATAAAATTTATAACAGCTTCTCTGATATCTATATGATATACAGAATATTTTCTTGAATTTTTTACCATGGTTTTGAAATGAATAGAAAAAACATTGATTTTCATTTCTTTCACCATCTGCCTTTTGTTCTGAAAAAGGTTTGCAAAAAGGAAAAATTTTCTGGTGGAAAATTTTTTAGATCAATTACAGAACTAGAAACCAAAGAGAGCTTTCATTTGTCAGAGCAAATAAAGCAGCAGAGTATGGCATAATGGCTGGTGGTAAAACATCTTGACACAACTTAGCACATCATCAGTCAAGTTAACACATAATTTATGATAATTTTACTCACAGCTGTCTCCACTACCAATCCATTGACCCACACCTCCATGGTATCTTTCTCTGAAAAAAGAAAAAGAGATCCATATTTGTTCACTAACTTACCAAACTATTACAGTAATGACTCATATTTTTTAAAGTAACACTTCCTTCTGCTTTTAAGATTCCACAGACCTCAGTCTGTGAGAGGAAAAGCTTGAAAAGGCAACTGCAATAGCAGGCTAGCAAAATCCACTGACTCTGTTTCAACATAAGTCGCACAAAGGAGGTGAGGAAGGGGGGGGGGTGTGGGGATTAGATGAAAATAAAGCAAATCTACAAATTTACTAACAGATCAAGATAATGGTTGGTACTTTAATGTTTGGTTTTCTAAAGCAGCTGGTGAAAACTCTTGCTGCTGGTGCTTTAAAAGAACACTTAAAGTACAGTATATAGTCATTGCCAAATGCCATTGCCAATGCCATGCAGTATAGAGTCAGTCATCTGTCATTCTCTAGCTGCCTGATAACTATCAGCTGATCAAATGACACTAAACCAACCATGGCCAGCAGCAACCAACTATCACTGTATCCTCCTTGACTTATTGAAGATATTGGCTAATGTGCTGATCAGCTGAAACATCCTCTTCCAGGCAACCCATAGGCATTTGACCATCATTCGTACCTGGGAGTGGGGAATTTGAAACTTGCCTAGCCAAAGTGGGGGCTTTGAACCCCAAGTGTAAAGTCTTTCTAGCAAATATGGAAGAGTTTGAGGTAAGAAAAAAAATTAAGCATTTGAACACAATTTTTGTCCCGGGGGACAGAATTTGAACAAACCAATCTGCAAAAGTTCAAATGCCAAGGGGGTTGCATGTTGGAGCTTTGAATTGATCTACACATAATATGTACATATCAACCATGGCTACACAAGTTCCCCATGTATCTGAAAGCTTTAAGTAATACCTACCGGTACCTTAAAACATCCATCCCAATATACTGAATTATTCAAAATAGAGATATATGTGTTTATATATACATATATATATGTGTGTGTGTGTGTGTTTGTGCAAATGTACTTATTTATTTCGACTTTAAGACATTTTGTTTATATTCGCAGTTGTTTGTAATTAACATCAAGGTAATCTGTTGTATCAACAGCACTGCAAACCTTTCAAGAGTTTTTTTTATGTCCTTTCTCAAAAAAAAAATTGTAACACTGACTCCTTTGATTGAAACACCTGCCCAGAAGTACAAACAAGCTTATGGAAATCTGCAGGCTGTCATTTACACTTGGACGTGTTAAACCTTTAATGCTTGAAAACTTCGTATCCAACCTATTCTATTTACACACAATCGTTTAACGTTGTCAGTTTTGAATTTAGTTTTATGATGCCCGGCTAAACAAGTATTGAGAAAAAATGCATGGGGTGGTAGTCAGTGTCGTCAGTCTTGGAACTATAAGCTTTCCATACCAGTAACTGAAATACAAAATAAACACTATTGCTCGCAACGGAAATGAAAAGTCGACAGAAGCTAATAACAAGTATACCGCAGCCCCTGGGTGATTTAAACATAACCTTACCCAGGACCATTCGCGTTTCTTCGCCGTCAAGAAGAAAAGTCCAGACTTTAGCCGTTTTCTTGCGATTTTCCACAAACTTCTTAAGCGGTTTCCCGTCAATTTCAAGAGTGTATTCGTACTGAAAGCCACTCACTGCCTCTATATGAATAGTTGCTCTTTTTCCTCCGACTAAGAAACTCTCTTTGCCTACAAGTCTAAACATCCAATTATTCCGTATAACTTCCACATTGTCAACCAAAATCACACGCTTGCCGGTTGTGGTGCCATGTTCAAACTGAATTCTATGCTTGCCATCGGACAAAGCTATGTCCCAAGTTGCTACAACATCTCTGTCGCTCATTACGGCGGCTTGTAAAGCTTGACTACGAGGTCAGGAAAGCGATAACAACCAAACAGGATGAGATAGAGATATTAACGTTGAAACACTGACTGAAGCTTATTTGACTGGCTAGCAGGATTCCTAATAATGCTACTATTATGTTTTCCACAGGGAACTGAAGAACCATTCCAGAGTGTTAGCAGTAGCCTCGCTCTCAGGATTCCAAATGTTACTTACAACGAGGCTTTCCAGATAGACCCAGGATGCATTGATGGTTTGTCAGCGGTCTATTGTGAAAAGCCGCGAAATTGGCTGTTTTCGTAAGATTCTCATTTATAATTTCCATCTCTCACCATTTTCCTCGTGGTCTGTAATTCGCGAAGTTGAATATGAATAATTCGTCCAGAGGAAAGGTAGCTATATATTTTGCAATTTTTTTAGGGTTTTATGTCAACCATAGGCACGTGTCAGGCTCGTATGTCTACACTACTTTCCTTCTTCGCCGGCAATTTCTGTAGTTGTCTTAGCTTCGGATTGTTCATTAAGAAACTCTATGCATTTATTGTACTTTGAGTGTTGACTTTTTTTCCTTTGTATTAATGTTTCTTCTTTGCGAGTTCCAGCTTACCGATTTTCACGAAGCCGTCAGAAAGGAGGTACGTTTTTTATCTGTTTATTTGTGATCATATTCGCTCATTGCGCAGCAAAGTTTACATTTCTCTGATTCATTTCCTTAAGTCTTCTTCAGTATCTCGTTCCGTTTTCAGGCTGAAGATGCAGTGAAAAATTTCTTTCCAGACAGGGTGTTTGAGCTTGACAAGCTTCTTAAGGTAAGATCAATTTGTACTGATCTTAGGTGAAGTCTTTACACGTTATCTCTTGCATAGAGCCGAATTCAGTGTTTTCAATTCAGTGATCTTCAGGTATTTTTATCTTTGGTAACTGCTTATACAACAGAAGACGAATCGTGCTGTTCTACACTAAACACAGTTGACCAAAAGACAACATCTCTGATTACGATATGCACTTCTCATGAAGAGCGTGATCGAGCTAGAGAAGCTGTTTTCTCTCGGTATACCCAACCCAGTACATCTGTTCGTTTGTCTGTTTTAGAAAAAAAAAGGCATCAGAGTTTTTCGTTAGTAACAAATTAGAGGTGGTTTTTGAAAACTAATGAGTCAGTGTTGAGGTGATGTTATGATAATTGTTTCCAAGAATCAAATAGTATTTGTCAAATGTGATTGGTCACTTCAGCTCTGCCAAAAAAAAAATACTAGATTCACTTTGTTGGCCATAAGGCAACAAAAAGTTAAAAGTATCCATGAGAGTGGTGTTATGGATCAGCACAGCTTAAGGTTACCATGCACCTTCAGGGGTGTCTTGCGTGTAAGCGATGTGGCGCCTCCGGTTTAAACTGTAGATATCTAAACCTCTATATCGAATTAAAACTGAATAGGACTGGCTATCAGACTATACCAAAAATTTTTAAAAAAAATGAATTGTCGAATTTTTCAGGACTTCTAAATGCGAGCGCCCAAATCAACTTTTAAGAGCTACAAGTTAAAGGGAATTTGTTCGATTGCTCTCATATTTTGACACTAGCTAGTTTTACATAATTATAAGCAACAAAAACATCTGTCCGAATTTTTTATTCCTGAATACTTTTTTTTTCAAGAGCCATTTTTGTACTATCACTCCACATTTTTTTAATCCTATTTCAAAAATGTTCTGTAATTTTTAACTGAAACTGAATATGGCAAATCGCAGACAGCTTTTTTTAGCACTTTGGCCCCGGAAACAGAGGAACACATTAAATAAACAAAAAACAAAATTCGCTCTGACATGTAATGTTCAAAAGGTGATTCAGGCACTTACATTTAGAAGTTGTGAAAAATTTGACAATTAATTTTTTGTTCAAAATTTTTGGTATAGTCTGATAGCCAGTCCTATAAGCTTTAATTTGATATAGGGGTTTAGATATCTACAGTTTAAACTGGACGTGCTACATCACTTGCACGTGAGACACCCCTGAAGGTGCACGGTAACCCTAAAAAAATATCTTCTTCAACGTACAGATTTTCTTCCCACGATTTTATTATTATTATCTATTTATTCCTGCTATTCACACATTGAAAGAAAAAAAATACACAAGAACAGCCAAAGCAGAGGGCTTAAATGGCCTAAGGTCAGCAAAAGATGTGAAGATGATCACACTTCACTTACTGCACAAAGGAGCAGGGACATTGCAAACCAATTGATTACTTTCTACCATTCTGTAGCCTCTCTTTTATCAGACAACAATCTCTTTCAGTCCGACATGTTTGACAAGGATTCCATAGTCAGAGTACAAAAAGCTGTTAACATGCCAGTCTATAAAAATGATGCCATTATTGATGGAGAGGTGAGCTCATTTAAAAGTGACTTTGTCACTACTAAGCAGAACTGAGTATGGTTTTGATATAATACTAACAATCATGGATATGATTATTACTGATCTAAATCTATTCTTTTTGCTAGCTATAAATTTGTGACTTTGAGGTGATTAAATTTAACAGATCCAAAAAGACTGTCCTTCACCCTCTATTTTCATTAATGTTTAGTTGTAAAGGTCTTAGGGGTACATCTGCAAGCATTGGAACACTGAACTGTGGTTTGTTTTTAAATATTGTAGTGGTTAGTGTCTGTTTTAATTTCTGTAGCCATACAATAAGAAGAGAAAGGTGGTGGATGGCCATGATACTCAAACTGTTAATCACTCTTCACCATGTGAGTTTTGCTTTCCTTGGTTATAGTTAGATGTTTTGGTCTTTTAACTTGTGACCTTCTTCCTTCTTGCAGAAGCATACATTACTGACCATATGCCTTTTGTTTGTTTATACTTTCTTTTCTCCTTGTTAGCTTTCATTACCCATATTCCTTGCAACAAGGTAAGACTTTTGTGTAATAGAGCAGTTTCATCACCAACACATATTGGAGTAGATTCTAGAAAACAAAGTGATAATGTTCTGTGTATTTGTTTTGCATAAGCAATAATTAGTTCTTATTAACCGAGCGGGAGGTCTGTATGGGAGAATCTTCACCGAGGTCAAGATTCTCCCATACAGACCGACCTAGCTCAGGTAATATGATGTTTATTATATGGCTGTCTTATATGCCAATTTCTTATCTTCTTTGTACCTTTTTTTTTCTAGACCGGTCTAGATAGGAAAATCTAGACTGCTTTCAATATTGATTTCAGCCAATCAAATTCGTGAATTCGGTAGTTCCCAGTCCTTGTGAGACACAGCCATATAATAATAATAAATAATAATAATAATATGATATTTATATAGCACTATTTCTATCACTATTAAATAGTGCTGTACATTAGTGTTATAGATCACACCGATAAAATTTATAGAATGTAAAAAATCTCTGAAATATGAGTAAAAGAAACTATTAACTAATAAGGCAATCTGTAGTAGTGAGAGTAAAAACTGTAACTTATAATGAAATTAACTAATTTACCAGCTGATTAAATTAGCTAATTTACTAACCAACTATCCAGCAACCTAGCTAACTACTTAAATAACTAGTTAACTCACTATAATAATTGTACATTTATGTTATAAAAAAGGTTACTGAGAGAATATTTGGTGTTTTTGATCCATGTTACTGCATTATGTTGATGATCTGTTGAATGTAACAACCTTCTATTACACTCTTATTTTTCAGTATCTTTTGCAAGTAATTGAACTTCTGAAACCAAAAATCCAGACATTGATGGAAAAGTGTAATACTGTAAGTTTATAGTTATGTGTTTGAATGTCATGGGGGTAGTTATTGTATGGTTTGAGAGTTTTTTGCACAAACCAATTCTGCTGGACAACTTGTGAACCATTTGCTTTTAACAAGTTGGATATGGCTACCTTGAGTACTTTTGGGAGTGTCCTTTATTTAGTTATGGTCCCTTGAGGTAATCTTCTTCTGAGAATATCACATAATGATCTGTAGCCAAGTAGCGAGGGGGGGGGGTTAATCTTCAAACACCAGACTAGAGACCAAACAAAATCATTATCTATTTGTATGCAGAAAGTAGAACAAGGGCAACTGAAACTATTAAAAATGCCTTGCTATTTAAAGTCACATGATAACTTGTTTGTTGGCTAATTTCTATATCATTTACTGTACATTTGTTTTTTGTTGTTTGTTTATTTTCTTGTTTTTGGACTTGAGGTGAAAATGTGGATTCAGTTACTAATTCCAAGAATAGAGGATGGAAACAACTTTGGAGTTTCTATTCAGGTACTGCAGAGCTCAATAATAGTAAGAAATAATAAGCTGTGAATTATGGCCTCACTGTAAGTCTGGAAAGAAAGGATTCGTAGCTTGCAGTTCTCAGCAAATACATATGATAACTTTGATCTCCACACTTTATTACCTGAATTTTCTTTTAAATCTCAATGGATACACTGAAGGAAGAAACTCTCAGTGAAGTACAGAGAATTGAAGGAGAAGCAGCCACATTTCTGGACCAGATATCAAGGTGCTCACTCAATTGTTTCTTTAGAACTGGTAAATAATTCAAGGTACAAATTTGAAAAGGGAGTAAGTTAATATCAAGGTGAAATAGTATTTTTTTAAAATTATATATTATTCAAAAGGAATTTCTTCATTTTGATGACAATAATTATATTAGATTTCTTAATCATTAATGGTAATCATGTGTCTTTCAACAATTGTTTCAATGTGTTAATTAGGCTGAAAAGCAAACCCCCCCTGCCCCTGAAAAAAAAAGACAAAACAAAACAAAAGATAGAAATGTTAAAAGGTTGTGACTTGCAGGTATTACATCACAAGAGGAAAACTTGTCTCCAAAATCATAAAGTACCCGCAATTAGTAAGTTGTTGATAACTCTACAGCAATTTTTTGTATTATGTTTCATTACCATTTGCCTTTGCCATGTTGCTGGAGGAGTCAGGCTTTTCCCTAGAGAACTAGCTTTGAGCTGTGGTATTTCTGGTTTGGTATTGATCAAAAGCAGTAGTCATTACAGGAGGATTATTGTTCATGGCCCCCAACTCGTACATTTCTATACTTTTGTCAAAGCCATTTTGCCAAGACTTCCACACTTTTACCCAGTTATTTTTCTGAGCATTCTCCTTCAACTCATCCTCGGAGACCCAGGGGCTGAGTGGATTTCAAGTTAGGGCATGAAGAGCCCCTGGGGACATTGTCTTGCAAGACTAGTTCCAAACGGTCGCAGTCGTTCTGCCATCTGATTGGTGCCAGAAAATCTTTGTGTTTTTCTGCCCAATCAGAGTGAAGTGTGCTTTAGAGTCCTTTCGTGTGTTTTAACACGGACATATACTTGTAGCCCAGTTGCTCGCTATGTTTGTTTGGACTGTGCGACAGAGATTTGCTTGAGGTGAAAAGTTTCAGTCTCGGCACACAACGTAACGGTCCAAACAAACATAGCGAGCAACTGAGCTACTAGTATATGTCCGTGTTAAAACACACGAAAGGACTCTAAAGCACACTTCACTCTGATTGGGCAGAAAAACACAAAGATTTTCTGGCACCAATCAGATGGCAGAACGACTGCGACCGTTTGGAACTAGTCTTGTAAGACAATGTCCCCAGGGGCTCTTCATGCCCTAACTTGAAATCCACTCAGCCCCTGGGTCTCCGAGGATGCCTTCAACTCTGAATCAAAACATTCTGCTTTCTGTTCACATGTCTGCCATTCTCTTTTGTTGTGCTCTTGCTACTTCCCTGTCAATCAATTAAATTTAACTTTCTGTACCCATTTTTAACATTTTGTACTCAATTTCAAATGTCTGCATTGTTTGTAATTAGTTGACTTGTTCATGGCCTATAAGTGTGCTGAAATTTTTGCATGTATATTATTAGGTGTTAAATGAAACAACATCCTCTTGTGTTTGTTTTGCCATCTTGTTTATTTACCTTTTTTAAGTCTTCTTTAACAGCTGTAGTCTGGAAGCCCAGTGCTATGTGTTAAGAATATCATTTTAACCAGGAACAGGGTTCGTACGCATCTTGAAAATGCTTGAAAACCCTTGAATTTCAGGAGGCTGATTTCAAGGCCTTGAAAGTACTTGAATTTCATTTAGGGTCCTTGAAATTTCATTGATTTTTTATTGAACAACATCGAAAAATAACTGCTTTTGTTTTGCACCATCAGTAAACCCAAAACATAGATGTTAACAGAAACAATTTTCTTGGTTTTAAAAAAAATTGTCATTACATAAAGAACTTGAAATTTCTAAGTAGGGTCCTGGAAAGTCCTTGAAAAGTCCTTGAATCTTTGGCCTGAAAAAGTGTACAAACCCTGCAGGAAATTCTCTTATTTTCGTATGAATTGTATCTCTGGTTACCCCTTTAATTTCCATATTTTTGCTTATATTTTAGGATGATTACAGACAGGCTGTGATTGAATTAGATGAGAAGGAATTTACCAGCTTACGTCTCTGTTGCTGTGAGCTGCGAAACCATTATGTAAGAACAGTTTTAATATTTTTAAATTCTCTTTTTGTTGATCAACATTTTAAAGTTAAAGGCATAAGATGAACCATCTCAAATTTTGCTTACTGCACTAGCTCTCTGAAATTCACCAGATTAACCTTCCATGATAGACTAGCAGCTTACAATGATAACAGCTCAGCTGAACTTAAAACTTCTACTATATGTACAGATGTTTTAACAATAATTTTTAAGTTTGAAGGTTCTTATTATGTCTATGCATTTGATCTCCATCTACAGCTTTCTTTACATGACACCATTACAAAGAATCTCGACAAGATCAAGAAACCACGCACAAATAATGCAGACTCCCTGTATTAAAATTTTTTGCCATCTCTGATATGTCCATGAAACATTTCTGTATTCCACTGAAGAGTATTGACTCTGTTGTCACCAATAAACATAGTAAACTGGTACTCCTACATGGCAAAATATTCTATTTTAAGATACACATGTATTCTTAATTTTAACCATCAGTAGTAATATGTAGACACTTATGTACTGTACTAAGTAGTACCTCCTGCCATTTTCCTGCCTGCTAAACAAATTGTAAACTTAAAGTGAACACACATAAATTTGTTTGCAAAGTTTACTATGTGATTTTTTTTAAGGGTCTAAAGGAGTTCAATTATGAATCAGAGCATTATTGAGGCACCTTTGAGTAACTCTCAGTGGTGCAAACCAGATTTTAAATGAGGTACTTCATATGTACTTGACAGAGGAGTACTACTGTGATGAAGTAATAAAAAAAGCTTTTGGTGGAATATATTTTTCTATGCACCATGTAAGGTCCAGATGCACAGTATTACTTAGATAGAAACCCCAATACTTGAGCATATATTTTTTGCTTGAACCTCGTCTCCATTTACTCTTCAGTCCTTGTCTGAAAGCTGTGTCACTGGTAGGTATCATTGTTAACTTTTTCTTTCTCAGTTGACAACTTTAAGTCCACTGTTGTACTGGGAGACTAGGTTCAACTAGGGCCAGCAGTGGTCATAACTGAGCAGAGTCAGATTTCAGATCATGACAGTGAAACACTAAACCACCCCTTTTTACTGTAATTTTTGCAGGCTGGCAGTGTTCAGTGTGGTATTTTGTGACCAAGCTGGCAAACCAAAGATCAAAAGTATACTGACAGTTGGGACCTCTTCAGTTTCTAAGTTGAAGAGCATTTGTAGTAGACCATCATTCATTGTGAGAATTCGATGAAGTTAGCATGCCTCTCAGCTCCCTTGCAAGTACTCTCACCCAATCCCCTCAGAGGCCCCATCTGAAATAATAGCCCCCCAGGTGGCTAATTTAGGGCAAGGTCTTCAAATCTCACGCATTAAACCTGTTGCTGCAAACTTTTGTGTGTGTTTATTGATATGCGAAGAGTATAGCAATATTTTTGAGCAGCACAGAACATGGTCAAACTTGTAAAATAACTGAGTAAAGTAGTCCACCGACGCAGTTCATCTCGATAAGTAATGGTTTGTATTTCTAGGCCCGGACTGCTTGTGATGCAGTGCACATCAAGAAATATCTTTAAACCGTTGGTTTCAGGCTCAGAGACAAGACAAAGAATGTCGGGCCTTCATCAGCTTTCCTCATTTATCGGTGTTCACGAGCAAGACAACACACGCACGCGAGACGAAGGGAGTTCTATTTCTGCCCGTGTCTACTCTCGTGCGCGCGCGTTCCGATTCGCAGGTCACGCAATAGTAACTAGTAACCAGTCCCTTCGCGTAATTGATAGTCATTCAACATGGCGGATAAGGAACCATCCGAGAAAGACACATTTCTAAAGTCAATTTGTAAGTACTTTTTTGCCCATAAATAACTTTTATATAAGGGAAATAGTGTACACTGATTAAGTGGTTAATATAAAAGAAGTGAAGGGGCTGATCGATTCTGTTGGATTTTGTTGTGACTAAACGTATTTTGGACATGCATGTGTCAAAGCGATTGTACCACTGTACTTTGCTAAACGGTAGAAAAAAATACTTGAACTCGGCAACGCGCCGCTATAGAATTGAATTGTCCGGTTATATGGTTATGATGCCCTTTAGGTAACGCAACCAAATAAGGAAGAGCGTTGTAAGTAATTGTGTCTAATTTTCCATGTTCCCCGATGTAAAGTGACAGCAGCCTGGTACCAAATTTACAAACAGTCGTGAATAACGGAAGCAGTGTCAAGAATGGAAGAGTGCAATTTATTGGAATCTGTCAGTTTTACATGATAGGTTCTTTTCTGATCATGAAGCTGAAACACAAGTTGTTTTCCCAACTTAAGCACACTTACTATTCATGGGATCCAGGATTTGACCGAAAGGAAACGCCAAATTTATTGGATTCGGTATTTGACTGCTCCTCTTGAGCTGGAAATTGCCTGGTAAAGGATAAGGGATATGAATCATTACAAAAGGGGAATCAACTGGGCAAACTGTAGTGAGTGTTGGGTTCATTGTGGCACACACAAAATTAGAAGCAGGTCTATTCCTACTGGATGGGATGTCAGTTGATCACAGGTTAACCACCAAAACTCTGTCACTGTTTGGCTTAAGTACTGTCTCACCTTGTCCTAAGGGATGTTTCTATTCAAAATTCATTCTTCATTCTCATTCATTCATTCTTTTTTATTCACACTTATTCTACTAAAAATAGAACAACGAGAAAGAGAAAAAGTAGAAAAAAAAAGGAGAGAGTTCTAACTATACATGAATTTACACAAAGCAGTGGAAAGAGTGTGTAGTAGCCAAAGGAGCCAAGCTTTCGAGTTGGCCAGTAGTCCAGTGGTCAGTGCGCTGGACTCTGGGTCAGATGGCCTGGGTTCAAGTCCTGGCTGGGGCTTGACATTGTGTCCTTAAGCAAGACGCTTCACTCACATTGCTTCGTCTTCTTGGATAGGACATAAAGCCGGAGGTCCCGTCTCCTGCACCTATCAATTAGTTAATTTCAGCAGGGGACGTTAAAGAACCCACACCATGAGATTACTGTGATGTGGTCTGGCCTGTTTACTGGGAATAGGGGGAGGGGGCATCTGTAAAAATTTCTCCTTTATTAATAATAAACTGCCGCCGGCAGTCTGGAAAAGTCCCTCGCACAGTGTTGTAAAGTGCATTAACGCATTTGGAAATGCGTTATAGAAATTGATCTATATTAATTTTAATTTAGTCCATTTTCACTGCATTAAGTTTTGCAGTGGGGAAGGACTAGAAAGGAACATAGGAACCATTCGTGCTAGTCCACCCTCCCACCCATCCCACCCCAGGGGAGGACATCCATCACACAGTAATCTCGTGTGTGGGAAATTAACGTCTCCTACCCCAACCCTGCAGGAGACGGGACCTCCATTTATTCGTCCCTATCCGAGAAGACTAGAATATCTAACCATTTCTTGATGTTATAGAAAGGTAGCAAATTCTTCTCAATTATTTTAAGACCCTGAGTGTTGGTCCGGCCGGGGCTCGAACCCTCGACCTCCCGCACAACAGTCCAGCGCTCTATCCATTGAGCTAACCGGGAGGCGGTTATATTATTATTATTATTATATACTAAATAGTTAAAATAGTAAAATAGAGCTCTATGATAGGTTAAAGTTGTTCAAGATGTCTGCCTGCCAAGTAGGAAGAGTTTATATTCTTTTTTAAAGCTTTTTTAATTCAGTACATATCTGTCTTAGTAATCAGATTGGATTTTTCAATATCGATGGTGAACTGGCCTTCAGATACAAGATCAGTTTGCACATGAATGTGTGTACTTTTTGAAGTAGGAGACCTATAAATTTATTTTAGTTGCTTTGATGTTGGGAAATTATACTTGTGATATGGTAGTGTTAAATGCAAAGCATGTTTGTATTGATTTGCAGTAAATAGAGGTCCAAATAAGAGGCAGATAAAACCAGCAGGAAACAATTCTCTCCTTCAGTTGGCTCTTGGAGAGGACAGTGAAGACAGTGAAGAAGATGCAGATTTTGAGCTTAATGATGATGAAGATGATGAAGGTGTAGATATCTTTCTGAGTCCTTTGAGTTTCTTTGATTTTGATCACAATTCGAATGCATATCTCTCATTAGTAGCTTTTATGGCTACTTTTTTTAATCATTTTACCCCAATTTGTCGCATTTCTTCAATACAGAAGTCCAAATTTGTTGTTCAACATTGTCCTGAATTTTCTGTTCTTGCTAATTTTCTATTTTGTCCCTTTCAAATAACAGTGTCAATGGTGCGTGATAAGTAATGCTATTTTGTTTTGTATGTTAGGTCTTATCGAGGGAGACCATTCTTAGAGCGCTGTTAGTTTTATTGTGTTCTAAACAGAATCTATCAGAAAGAAAGCAGTAGTGAAAGCAGACAAACTAACAATAGTTGAAGCTTTTAACTCCTCAATATAAAATGGAGAGAATTTCTTTTCCCATATTTTCCACTTATCAATTCTATGTTTAGCAACACCATCTGCCAAACTTACTGACAACATCTGCCTTAACACGGAAGTGATCACGAGAGACTCTCATGATAACTTCCTCTCAGGTTGTTGAAATGTCAGTCACCGCTACTCACAACAGTCCTTCCCAGGACTACAGACAATCAGACTATACTATCGCAATGATTGATTAATGAATTGATCATTTGCTGAAAATCAAGGACAGTGAACTGCCCAAGTAGTAACTACATGTTATTTATCAGGAGGGTCTGGTTCAGATGAAGAGACTGATATCACAGAACAGCAAGATAAAGAGCAGGTCGCCAAAAAGGTACAAGAAGTAAGTGAAGATGATAATGATGAAGATGACAACGATGATGATGACAACGATGATGAGGATGAAAGTGAATCCTTGACAGCTGTCAGTGCTCTTACTGTAGGTGACTTAATAGAAGTTATGAAAGCCAAAACCAAAGCCAAAGCTGCCACCAGTCAGCCCAGCTCTGTGGTAAATCAATTTTAAATTTTACCAGCTTTATTAGGGTATTTGTAAAGGGGTGTCTGAGGCTAGCTGCAAATCCATATTTGATTTACTGGTAGTTTATCTTTATTGAAATAAATTGTTAGAAAAAAGTTTTGCTTATTCAGTTATTATTTATTGAACAAACGAGAAAAACAAACCACAAAATGTGTATGTAGTTAGCAAATGATATAATTTGTATACTAGGTAATCACATGATTTCGAGTGCAATTTGGAATAAATAAGCATGAGTAAATTTTTTCAAAGACTAACAAAATTGCATGAGCCCATAGGGCGAGTGCAATTTGTGGTCTTTGAAAAAATTTACAAGTGCTTATTTATTCCAAATTGCACGACAAAAACATGTGATTATCTATCAATAATATACATGAAAAAATATGAGGTCGCTTCTCATAACTAAGCAGAAGAAGAGCGCGCGCATCACGTGCAAAAATAATTTATTCAAACCCTGCAAGTGACATTGACCTTGACATTGACATTGACCAATCATTCTGACCAATCAGAATGTCTGGTTTGTTTCTTTCTTTGCACTGAATTAACTCTCTTCTGCACTGAATTAACTGAAAACTGCATTCATCTTAACCAATCAGGACTGAGAAATTTTTTCATGTATATTATTATCTAACAAATAGACTATTTCATGCACTTACAAAAGATCATTGTTTGCTCCAAACCCTCATGTATGGCCAAGGGATACTTGTTTGAATCTTTTGCTTACAAAATACTTGCAATAACTTGTGGCATGATATTGTAATTGATCCCCTGATCAACATACAAACAGAAAATTGTAAAGCCTTTTATGTGCCATTTTCAGAAGGTTATGTATTCTTCAAAGAGTCCATGATCATTCAAAGTATCTTTAGGAGTGAATAGGTTTACTAACCAGTTTTAACCATTTGTTCTACAGGCATCTAGTGAAGTTTCAGCTTCATCCAAGAAGGTAGACATTTTAATATGTGGAATCTGCCTGGATGATATTAGGTAAATGAATAATTTGGAATGACTTCAAAACTTTTAGCTTTTAGTATTTCTGCTTATGTAAATTAAAAGTCCCAAAAGTTGACTAAAGACATCATGATTTGCTCCTATGGTTGAAGGTACTACTTATTTTGAAGATTAGCCCACCAGGGATCAAAGTTGTCAGACTTATTTGTATTAGAGTGAACACGGCTGGATGCATCCATGGTTACCTCATAGTCAACTGAAAATTAAATAATTTCGAGATAAATTATTATTTACAATATTCTTAGTTGAAGCAACAAGCGGTTTCATAACTTACAATTTGTTTCTGAGTAGTTGGATCCCTTGATTCGCTATCTCAATGCCTTATCTTGATGCTTATGTTTACGACCGTTGATAACCAGCTTCAAATCTTGTTACATCAAAAATTGTTCCTTTTAAAATATAAGTCACATGACCTATTTTTCCCGCCTCGTGTAGTCGAGGTGAATTTACAATTACGATAATGAATTCTAATTCTTTGCTACGTGCGCCACTGAACATGCAAATCACATCATGCAGTCCTGTTGTTGATTTTTTTACTCTTCTACTTGTAATTAATGTGGAGTTATCATAGATACTTGACTTGATTTTGATTTAGATGATGTATATAATTACAATGTACAGAATATTTAAGATAAGTAATCATTGAGGTCTATTTAATTCATGACCAAACTAAGTTACAAGAGTACTTATAAACTTATGAGTAATAAGTTTTCAAATCAGATGAAATTTAAAACTTCTTGAGAGGAAAAGGATTAGGAAACAAAGTGAAGAATACTGAATGAAATCACTCATTTTAGAAATAAATTTTGTTCAGTGTGGTTCCCATTAAGTTTTCAATCGCTGTGCTTAGTGGGATTTTAAGCCAAAAACAGGAAGGATAACATCACTAGTGGCAAGAAAACCAGGTTTGCAAAAGAGCTGTTTTTACCTAATATACAAATAAAGTTGTGCACTCACTATTATGAATTTGAAGCTAACACAATCTTTCTCAAATGTATTTTAATACCAGTGATGAAGGAGATGAAATAGTTGAATGTGATAATTGTGGCATCACTGTACATGAAGGTAAATTTAAAAGATACATTATAATTGTCATTGCTTTGTCTTTGTGCACCTGGCCATTATTTAAATTCTAGAGGATGAAAAATTGGCGAGTCAGTCACAGTAAAATGATGTTCCCAGACTGAGATGTCTCTAAATAAATGAGTATGAGATGTCTTGTCATAAAATGTGTAATACATAATTTTAAATTTTTTGTAAATTTCATGCAATTCAGCTTTAGGAGGCTGCAATTTTGGAATTGTTTTTTTGTTTTATCATTTCTCTCTCCACACAGTTACATAAAAATGGTGAAAGGAAAAAACCCTTTCAGGTCAAGGAAAAGCTGTAAATTTTGTATTAAATTTTTGAAAAAGGGTGACTAAAAATTTTATTTTTACTTTTCAATTCTTTTATTTTCTGTCTTTTTTGCTGTTAAAATGTGATTTTGAAAAATTTATCCCTGAATGGAAAGAATACTTGGGAAAGAAGTTTGGATGAAAAACTGTAAATTCCATCAGAAATAAACTGATGTCTATCAGGGAAAGTAAGAATGATTTAAGAAATTTTAAATAGCAATTGGGATGTACAGTGTACTGGTAACCTGGGTTAAGTAAAATTACTCTGAAGTACCAATAAGCTGCTGCCTCGGCTCATTCTACAGAGTGTTATTGCAATAGGTTGCTATGGTATCAATGACGAAGATAGTGACTCAGGGAAAAGTAATGATACAGATTCTCCAACAGAACTGTGGTTTTGTGATGCCTGCAAACTGGGAGTTCAACCAGTGAGTAATCAACACTTTCATCTTCATTAACTTGTGTCATGCAAGGCATTTTTTTAAGTGTTTTGATATGTTTCTTACTGTTACTTGTATGTTGTTAATAGGATTGTGAATTGTGCCCAAATCTTGGTGGAATTTTTAAAGAAACAGACATGGGCCAGTAAGTTATTTACATTATTTACAGGAAGTCTAAGCCAAATCAGGGTTTTATGCAATCAGTAATGCTCAGGATCTCTCTGTTAAAATGAATTAATGTCCTTCCACTGTTAGTTTTTGGCCCCCTTACTGTTCACAAAACTCAAAAGGTTCAGCTAAATTGAGGATTGTTTAGGATTGGTTTTGTTAAATGAAGGCTAAACTTTTTTTAAGTAATCAGCCCTGGCCAATGATTTTTTATTATCATCCTTTGCATTGTATTATGATTCTTTTGTTTTTGTTCTGAAGGGAATGTGAGTTGTTAAAACAGTAATAGAATCCTTGAAGGATTGTATAACTGTTAACTGAAATGATTAAATTTACTGACAAAAGAGCTATTTACTTCACTCATCAGCGAGCAGGCTCTTTGCAGCATACAGTATGACTACATGAACTGAATGAATGTAAATCACTTAGTATCTAATGTCCTTTGAATGTTATTTGTCTGACAGATGGGTTCATTTGCTGTGTGCTCTTTATACCCCAGATGTGGCATTTGTTAAACCTGAACAGCTTCAGTGCGTCACATTATCAGAGGTTCCTCCCTACAAGTGGGGTGCTAAGGTAATTGCAGCACTAGAAAGGTCAACATAAAAATATGCTAATGTTAGATCTTTAACATGATTGTAATAGTCAGGGCTCGACACTAACACTTACCCTATTTCCAATGGAAAGTAAAATATATTAATGGAAAGTAAAAATCGAAAATTTAGCGAAAGTGCTTTCCCGATTTGGCAACTAAATTTTTAGCAGACATGGAAAGTATTTTTTTTTGTCTACTAGTCCTAAGAGTATTAAGAATGAAATGATAAAAGTACCACACATTATTAGAGAGCAATTACTCGTTTGCAAAAGCAGAGTATTCTCCATGCTCAACACGCATCGTTTGATGGCCGCCATCTTAGATTGTAGGCGGCATGCTGTGCAAATTTGACAGAGGAAGCCTTGGTACTAAACTGGTAGTGATTCATCCGCCATATTGAATTCGCCAGGTTCTTGCAAGTACATAAAGTGCTGCGGCGCGCGTAGAGATGAGTTTGTTTGCATTTGGATTCACTAGGAACGATAAAAACGACAAAGAAGGCGGCGAACAGGGCAATTCTAATCAAGGTGACGAAAAACAAGTTAGCAGCGACGTGTTGATGTCTGAAACGGCTAAAGAGAGGTATGATGGGAAAAGAAAGCTGCTTGCATTGGCCGTGGATTCCGGAAAGAATGGCAAAATGAGTTCAGTTGGCTGGCATATAATGAAGTCGAGGGAAAGATGACCTGTAAAATTTGTGGGGAATTTCCCAATATAGCAGACAAAAATAGCTCGTTTTTCATTGGAAGCAACAGTTCTCACATGGCTAATATTAAAGGACACGATGGAGTATCTATTTTCTACACGTTATTTGCCTGGTAACTGAATTATGTGGTCCCGCATTGTTTGGAAAGGAAAGTTTAACCATGGAAAGTAAAATTATACAATTACTTTCCACAATGGAAAGTAGTGCCAAAAGTTAGTGTCGAGCCCTGAATAGTTCATTGTTTAAAGGAGTGTGATCACTGTGACAAAAGATTGTGACTGTGTCAGTGAATGTACTGGTAGTTCTTCCTGTTGATAGGACTCTGATGGAAAATTTCTGGTTTGATATATTGTTTCTTTTTCTGCTTTTTGCCTCCATAGGATTGTACTCTCTGTGAAGATGAGAGGTTTTGCAGGACTGGGGTGTGCATTGAATGCGATGCTGGAATGTGCAGGACATACTTTCATGTCACATGGTAGCTAGTACACTGTGCTACAGTGAAAAACTGTCTTTAAGTTTGGAACCAACTTTTAATACCTCTCATTTTAGCCACTTTAAAATGGTTTTTTGTTCCTCTATATTTCATACAAAGTTGTAGGTTGATTATAAAACCTCTGACAATATTTTGCTGGTTATTATTCAGGTATCTCAATTATATCATTGAAGAGACTGGGCTTCTTTATTTGCATTAAAGATCAATGTTAAAACTACATCAAATGCTTATTTTTATTCTTATTAGTGCTCAGATGTATGGACTTTTGTCAGATGTTCCAGAAGAATGCGATGAGGTACAAAAACCATATTATTTAAAAATACTTCAAAGAGATAAGTGCCAAACAAGTTTGAATTTCATAAAAATCTTCAATGCTAGTTAAAAGAATTATTTTTAAATGCATTGTAAAGGCACATGAAGCTAACAATTCCTAGATGATTATAGTATATTCTTAGACATGGAAAAAATGGTGGTGTTTTGTAGGTTTTTGTTGTAGTTCTGCATACTTTTTGTTTGCAGGATGTTGCAGATCCTCTATTTGCACATTGCAGGCTGCATGCAGATAAAAAAACAACTGCAAACAGGGTAAGATCACACCAAAAATTGTGAAATTTGCTGCTATAAATAAAGAGCAAACTAAATTCATAATTAGCTCAAGCAAAAAACTCAAACATCACTTACATGTTGCTTTCTCCCTTCATAGAGGCGCCAATGGCTAGCATACCAGTCACGCTACAAAAAGGCTGGTGAAAGGCGGTCAGTAGAGGACAAGGTATGTTGCAGCCATTACCCTTTTCCTACAATGCTTAACTGTTTGGGTGGTATGAAATATTTCTGAAGGATGGATTGAATGATGAGTTTCTTTCTTTTTGACAGGAAAGAGTTAAGCACTGTTTGGATACTATCCGTCAAGAATTTCAGGCAAAACGAATGAAAAATCTCACAAAAGTTTTCAGTAAGTATCCCAAAGCAGAGTCTGTGCAGTATATGTATTATCACAAACAAGTGTATAGTTATGTAACACAGGCAATTATATTAAAGATGAGAGAAATGTCCTCATCAATGCCAAACACCATATCTGCAATGTATGGGAGATTTTCAAAAGAAAGGTATAACCCTTTGTCTCATGATGTAGTCACTGCAGATGTGATCACATATTTAGACAAACAATTATTATTATAGTTCTTTTTTTAAAGCGCTATTTACCACAATGACATATCACAGCCTATTTCATAATACAATAAATTTGTTTTTCACTGAGACATTTGTCATCAGTGCAATACCTCTGAAGTTTCATTGTGGATGGAAGAAGAGTTGTATATTGCTTGAGGGCTCTCCCAAATCAATGATTGGTCTTATTTTTCAATTACAATTATCTTGATGAAAGGAAAATACAAAATTTGTATAGGTAATCGCATGATTTCGAGTGCAATTTGGAATGAATAAGCACCAGTAAATTTTTTCGAACACTAACAAAATTGCATGAGCCTGTAGGGCAAGTGCAATTTGTGGTCTTTGAAAAAATTTACAAGTGCTTATTTATTCCAAATTGCATGAGAAAAATCTTGTGATTATGTATTAATAATATACATAAGAAAAATACGAGGTAGCTTATCCATAATTATGCAGAAGAAAGTGCGTGCATCACATGCAAAAATAATTTATTCAAACCCTGCAGGTGACATTGACCTTGACATTGACCATGCAATCATTCTGACCAATCAGAATGTCTGGTTTGTTACTTTCTTTGCTCTGAATTAACCCTCTTCTGCACTGAATTACCTGAAAACTGCATAACCAGTCAGAACTGAGTAATTTTTGCATTTATATTATTAGTGTTGTAACTTTATTTACAAGTAATTTGAAATTTTTGTTCTTTAAATTTGTTTTTTTTTTTTTTTTTTTAATATTTTTTTTATTCAAAGCTCCCTCAGAAAAAATTCCTCGACTACTGAGCACATGTCCTGGAGGTGAGAGAAGCCATCTACATAATGGCAACATCATTTTCAATCCATGAGTTTTTCTCAATGAGTTAACCTTAATACCTTTCAGTATTACCTAGTATTTTTACTTGTTATTTGTATTTTGACTCGCCCTATGGGCTCGTCAAAATATGGCACAATTCGTAAATATACTCAGCAATACTACACAAATAAACGTCTAATAAGATGTATATATGGTCTCCCTTCACAAAATTAAATTATAATTGCAAATGAAGTTTTAATAAGGTTGTGTTTAATGCTTCATCAATTTCCTTTCTGCACAAATAGGAGACTGATCTCTAAGCAAAGGTTGCTCTATCATTTATAGAAGTTGGACATTTTAGAGCAGGCTGACAGAAACACATGGAACTTACGATTTTGACCCTGTCTATGCAGTCAGCCAGGTCAATCCAAACACATATTAGTAGCTGATATTTTGTACTTTGAATTACTTTTCCAGCTTGTCGCCAACTTTTCAAGAAAGCGCAACTACTGGGCTACACCACAGGACAGGTACTTTAATGATAAGCATTGAAAAAGCTAGGGTTAAACCACAGAATTGATGCAGTAATAATTAGCATTGAAATATCTAAGGATAAACCACAGAATATGTGCTGGGAAGACTGATTACAAGATATAATGGTACAACAACTTTAATGAGATAGGGCCAGCTAGGACAGCCGTGATTAGTTGATGATTAGTTGATGCGTGAGGCATGAATAGTCCAGTTGTCAGTGCACTGGACTCTGGGTCAGATGGCTCGGGTTCAAGTCCTGGCTGGGGCTTGATGTTGTATCCGTAAGCAAGACGCTTCACTCATATTGCTTTGTCTTCTCGGATAGGACATAAAGCCAGAGTTCCTGTCTCGGCAGGGGACATTAAAGAATCCACATCACGAGATAACTGTGATGTGGTCTGGTCTGGTTACTGGGAATGGGGGGAGGGGGCATCTGTAAAATTTCTTCTTTATTTATTGTAAACTGCAAAAGTCCCCCGTACAGTGTTGTAAAGCGCATTAGAACATTTACATGGAAATGCGCTATAGAAATTGATCTATATTATTATTATTATATCAGAGTTAAGTACCACTCATGTACACACACCTACACAAAACCAAAAAGCAGAAAAAAACTGAAAATTGGAGTAAGAAAGCAAGAGTAACAGCAAAGGAATTAGGTTGGTGGGACAAGATAATAGGGCTGGACAGGTGACTTTCTAATGTTTCATTAGACTCCTTCTAGTCAGCTGAGCTCATAACACAACATACCATTCCTTCCCCAGAAATGAAATGTGAGTGGGAAGTGTCACGCACTATTCACAACATGTGAATAGAAAAACAGAGAGGTCAAACCCCACGGCTTTTGTAGTGTAATTTTTTCAATCACGGTGTTGCCTTTCCTGACATGTGGGAATTTTACTCCATCTTTTAGAGTCAGAGTGTCATGAATGTTCGTCGCAAGTGGTTTGTTCAACCAGCTCTCACCAGCGAATTTGTGAACTATTACCATGGTAACATCATTGTTTGTTTCCCTGAAATCTACAGTCTCCCATTATTGTCTTTATTCCAAGTGTAACTTTTTTTGTTCTTAAGTTCCTCTCTTTCTTGCAGTCATGGTATAATCGCTCCTGTTCATGTATCTTCTTTTCCAGATCGTAACGCCCGATTGAAGGAGATGCAGGAGCGCCAAGACGAATTGAGGTTGAATAACAAGCGATTGCAGCAAGAGGAGCAAGATTTAAGAGAAAAGTATCAGGCGGTAAAGCACTTGATGTAATGGTTTTTTAGAGAGTTTTTGTCATGTAAACTTGTGTTGCCTGGCCATGAGTGTTTTGTCAAGTTTATAAGATCAAAGTTTGGTAATCATGAAAGATCTGACTTGGTATGGTTTTGAGCCTTTGTAGAAAAGGGCTTCATCAGACATGATGAGGGTACATTGTTTTGTGTTTTTCTTTTCATCAGATAAGGGTACATTGTTTTGTTTTGTGCTTTTCATCAGATATCATGGGGGAACATTGTTTTGTTTTTTTCTTTTCATCACATATGATGAGGGTACATTGTTTTGTTTTATTCTTTTCATCACATATGATGAGGGTACATTCTTTTGTTTTATTCTTTTCATCAGATATGATGAGGGTACATTCTTTTGTTTTATTCTTATCATCAAATATGATGAGGGTACATTGTTTTGTTTTATTCTTATCATCAGATATGATGAGGGTACATTGTTTTGTTTTATTCTTTTCATCACATATGATGAGGGTACATTCTTTTGTTTTATTCTTTTCATCAGATATGATGAGGGTACATTCTTTTGTTTTATTCTTATCATCAAATATGATGAGGGTACATTGTTTTGTTTTATTCTTATCATCAGATATGATGAGGGTACATTGTTTTGTTTTATTCTTTTT